TACACGTACATTTGGACCAAAAGGTGTTATGTTTATTTTTTAATATGTATGAGTGTTTGCTTGGTAGTGTATCTGTGCAGCACATAAATGCCTGAGATGGTCAGCAGAGTGTGTCTCTGGACATGGAGTTACAGACATCTGTGAGCCGCCATATTGGTGCTACCAACAGAATCCAGGTCCTCTGTAAAGAGCAGCTGTTGCTCCTGACCACTGAGCCCCTTCACTAGCCTCTAAAGCCATTATTAAATCATAATGTAACCATTAAGCAATTACTTAAATAATTCCATTGTCTTCCTCAGAACTAAGTATGAACTTTTATAATTATATACAGATACTACTTAAAGGTATTTTGTGTTAAAATTTTTGTGAAGAATGTATTTTCTCAAAATAGTGCCTGAATGCATACATATAGTACGAGGCTAAACCTGAGTAGTGACTAACTTAGCTCCATAGCTTTTGAAAAGATACTTCCAAACGCCCTATGTTGGGTTAACCTCTGTGTATTCCTTCAGTCTGCTTAACATCAGAATTGTCTCATTACAGCCATGATCTGTGGGGGAGACTGCCACATTGAACTTTATATGCACAGTTTAGTGATAAGCATTTTAAATAAAGACATTATCAAAATTAAACATATTACTAAATGAATAAACACAAATATTACAATCTTTACTTATTCTGGTGTACTTTTAGATTTATTATTCAGTACAGAGGGTCTCTATCTCTGTCTCTCTCTCTCTCTCTGTGTGTGTGTGTGTGTGTGCGCGTGCGCGCGCATGTGCATGCATGTGTTAGGAGACAGGCTTTTGCTATGTTGCTCTGGCTGCCCTCTAACTAAATTCTTAAGCTTAATTCTCCTCCTCTCTTGGCCTCTGAAGTAGTTGGGACTGCTGGTGATGTGGCTCAGTGGCAGAACACTCGCCTCACATGTTCAAGGCTCCGGAACTGATCTGCAGCACTGCATCTAACCTAGTAGAATGCATCTAATGTGATTGTAAGTTGCTATTAGTCGCCCAGTGATCTGTGCTTTCTTTAGAAATGACTGGTTGGGACTGGACTATGAATTCCTGGAAGGTAGAAGCGATGGGATTCAAGTTCATTTCCTAGACTAGGGACTTAGGTCTGTCATAAAGTCAGCAACTCAGTAAGTGTTTGGAGTTTCTGACTGGGTGCAGTACCATGAGCATTTTCATGCTACCACAGCCACAGGATCTCCAAGACCAGGCAACAGCAGGATAGCAGAGAGCAGTCACAGTGAGGGTTCAGTATTGACATTGTAGTAGAAGCCAGAGGCCATGAACCAGCCCAAGGACTCATTGCAATGAATGTTTGCTAGCAAAAGTTGTGTTGGCAGGGCCATATACTGTGTGACACACCACAGCTCCCAGCCACTACGATGGATGAATATGTGATGCAGAGTTGGGATAGGCGGAGTGAAGAGGCACACACTTGACAGTGGAGCTGAAGACTGTTGTGACAGTGTGAGAGAAATCTGTGATCGATAGAGGAGCAGGTCATCTCCCAGAGGGGTTGGCAAGATTTTTAAAATTTTAATTTTTTTCATTATTTCCTGTGGAGGGGTTATAAGGGTAGAGGGCAGACATTGAAGGGATGGGATGGGGTATAAGATATGAAATTCCAAAAGAATCAATAAAATTATATTTAAAAAATAAGGCCAAGGATATGTACATTTGAGGAGATCTACACACCTATACCTAACTTTGATTTTTTTAAAGGGACAGCTAATACAAATGATAGCCGATTTACACACTGTATGGGCTTTGTTTTTTTTTCTTTTGTCCACCAGCTTCTTACTCCTACAACCAAATGACATCTGTTTGAAATGAGTAATGATGGGCTTCTGGAGATCCCCTCCACTGTCTATGAAAAGGTCTCAGCACAAGTATGGTCACAAGTATGCTGATCTCTTAGTGTCTTACAGACTTAAAATGACATTTGAAAATTGCTAACTGGACAGTCTTGCTAATTAAAATCTGCATATATACGTGTCTGGTCTGACAAAATATTTTGCTATTATATTGAGATACAATTGGATATTATCTGTTTGTAATAACTAGCCCTGTTTTCTAATTTTGTAAGTTATTTAAAAATTTGGTTGCTACCGGGTGGTGGTGGCGCATGCCTTTAATTCCAGCACTCGGGAGGCAGAGGCAGGCAGATCTCTGTGAGTTCGAGACTAGCCTGGTCTACAAGAGCTAGTTCCAAAGCCACAGAGAAAACTGTGGATTTATTCTACTAAACCAAACAATCAAAATTTTGCTTTAGAAGTAGCTTCTACATGCTTCTGTGCTGTGATACCAATTGTTTCTGTCTCTATGAGGTACTTCTTAAGCTATGCAAGCCTTTTTTAAAGGTATTTGTAAATCTGTGTGCAATTGTTCAGTTTTTGAAACAGATTTACTGTCGTTGTGTTTTTATAAATCCTCATAGTTAACTATTTTCTCTTATGTGGTGGTTTTGTTTTTGTAAAGCTTTACAATTAAGCTGTTAGCCTTCTACAGAGATATCAGCTTCTGACAAAGGCACCTGGATAAGATTTGTGGGGTAACACCTCTGGCTGGGTGCAACATGGCCAGCACCATCCAGTCTACCCTGAAAGCTCTAATTAGAGTGTGCTATTCACAGGACAAGCAGAATGGACTTCAGGTATGCCTGATCTGAAATCCACTTGTACTTCAACTATTTACACTGGGTCTAAAGGTTTTCTGGCACTAACTCCTTGATACCTGTTACTTACTCCTCTTTTTCCCCTAAGAGGGAACAAAACCATGCCAAGCAAGATTAGTCTTTTCCTAGCATTCCAGGACAATGGAGAACAAAGCCCCAGATAGTTGACCAGCAATGTCTGCAGAGGATATTGCTCAGAGATAAATTGTCAGAGCTAAAATAACATCATACTGGGCATGGTATCAGGTCCCTGCAATCCCAGCACACGGGAAGCTGAAATAGGAGGGTTTTGAGTTTGAGAGCAGGCTAGGCTTCATGACTCCAAGTCTGTCTCAAGCTAACAAGATGGAATTGCCCGTGCCAGCCCTTCCAAAAGTAACTAAAAGCCAAGAGGTTATGAAAAACACGTCTTACACACAGCTATCTGGCACTAAATGTGTTCTAACCTGGGTCCCTATTTAAATTTTATTGTATTTGTTTCAGATACATTCCACCTCAAGACTGAGATTTTAAAACAAAAGGCAGAGAACTTAATATACCTTGATGAAATGAAGCTATTCTAAAGAGGCACTTGTGTTTTTCAATCAGACTACTAAAAAACAATGGACCCCATAGAAATGGGAATTGCCCTAAAAATCTGATGCTGGAGGAAAAAGAGGCCAGTCAGAAAGGGAACTAGTTAGTCTTCCAGAAAGAAATTTCACACAGTTCTAACAATGTATCAGACCAAGTTACAGGATGAGACTGAAGCCCAGACAATGATGGGTCAATGGCCCGTGAGATCACACATTGACTAGGATCCTTGGCCCTCTATTTAAACTTCAATCTCACTACAGGGCATTGAAGACAGACTGTCCCTCTTCCCAACGTGGTCATGTTGAATACATCTCTTTCTTTTGCTCTACATTATTATTGGCTCTTAATTGGCTTGAGGACTAGTGGCCCAACTTGGCTTGGAGAACCCAACCAAGTTCTATAATAACATGTTGCCTATGCCCTGGTAAACACTACCCCCCCCCCGCTGACCTCCCCACACACTCATTAAAGCAACTATAATTAAACTCAGTGGATTAAAAAAAAAGACTTCAAAGTAGGAGAACACTTTTTGGGGATTAGGGTTTCAACAGAAGAGGGGGATGTATGTAAAAAACGTGATTTAGAAAAAGGGAAATTTCTCCCCCCCACCGTCGTTTGTGGGTTCTAAGTATTGCCTTTATTGTTTTAAATTATGCATGCGTGTGTCTGTTTGTGGGTATGGGCACGTGAGTTCCAGTGCCCATGGAGGTCAGAGGCTGGTTATTACTAGCAGGTGGTTGTGAACTGCCTACTGTAAGGTACTGGGAACTGAGCTCTAGTTTCCTGGAAGAGCAGTATGTGCTTTTAAACCACTAAGTCTTCTCTCTAGCTCATGTTTGTAATGTCTTTGAATGACAGCCATATCTTGGTGTTGATTATGAAGTGATTACCAGGATCTTGCTTTTTCAAAAACTGCACATGAAACACACAGTCGCATGCATCTTCACACACCTGGGTAACCACCACCACCTGATCAAGAAAAATCAAGTTCCCATCTGGCACCCTAGCCCTGCGTGCACTCCCCACTCACTAAAGCCACGGTACTGAAACTTCTCTCACTGTCCCTGCATCTCGGACAAGATTGTCTTGGAGGAGGAACGACTAGGGGGACATAGTCCGACAGTCTCGTGGAGATAAGACCCCAGCTCCTATCCTCCCTATGGGCTTTTCAGGAGATCTATACAGCCATGGCTCTGCATTCTTAGGAGACAAGCCGGCCGGTCTCTTGGAGGATCCTCCACCCAGTTAAGGCCGAGGGTAGCCAGACCCATCTGGGGTGCGCCAGGGTCCACGTAGGCAGTACCCAAGGACACTGCAATGGCTGCCGAGCGGGCTTTTGCGCCCCTTACCCCTTTGCTCTGCACCTTTCGCGCGAGTCGGGCTCCCGCGCCAGGGCAGTCGGGCGTGGCTCGGGGCGCGACCCTCCGGGACGCGGGCGGCCGGGGGCGGCGCTGCTGAGCCGGGATGTGCGGCGCGCTCCCATTGGCTGTACTTTCCCCCATCATGCCGCCCAGCCGCCCACCTCCCGGCCTCTCTCCGCTCCCCCATTGGCCGTCGCGCTCGGGGGGGTTTTGGGGTGGGAGGATGAAGAAGAGTGGAGGGTGAGCGGTTCTCCCGGGAAGGGTGTGCGCGAGAGCCAATCAAGAGCAGACGTGGAAAAGAGGCTCCTCACCAGCCAATCAGGCCCCGAGGCGCGGTTGGGACCCGCTGACGCCAATGCGGCCACAGCCAATGGGCGTACCGCTGTCTGTCCGCTCTTCAGCAGCCGGTCGGGGGCGGTGAAAAGCGAGTGAGGAGAGTGCGACGGCGGCGTAGCCATCGCTGAGGGGAGAGCGAGGCCTGAGCTTCCGCGTCGAGGTGAGAAGCACGGGCTCTGTCGCCGGCTCGGCCGCGGCCCCTCCGAGCCCGGCCGCCGTTTTGCTGGAGTCCACAGCCGGGCTGCGCTGAGGTGGGGCCTGCGAGCCGTCCCGCCCCCGCCCGGAGGCGGGGGCGCTGCCTCTGCCGGGACGGTCCTTGCGCGGCGTGGCCGGGCCGCCGCCCTCCCGACAGCCGGGGCCGCGGCGAGGGAGCGGAGAGGGCCCTGGCTTGCAGCCCCTGGAGGCAGGGGGCCCGCCTGCGTGGGGGGGACGACCACGGTGGGATGCGGAGTTAACGGAGGAGGGTGGCGGCCTGGGATTGAGAAATTCTGGGTCTGAGTAGGAAGAAAGTGATGCTTGGGAGAGGGCGTCCAGTGAGAGGCCCCAGATCTGGAGTGAGATTGGCCCCTAGGAAGTAGGCTTCCATAGGGTTGCGGAGAAATCGGCTGAGACCTGGAGTACTGATTTGGGGTTTGAAGGTTAAGATCTCTGGACCAATGGAGACAGGGCATGTGGAGTGTAAGGAGGTACACAGAAACCGGAAGGTGGCTGAGGAGTGAGGGATTTTAGGTTAGGGGTGAATGGAAGGCGTTTGAATAGAAGGTGTTATTTGGCTTCTTGGAAAGTACACAGGGAGTAGTCAAGGTGGATTTCTGTGTGCTTGCTCAAGGGTGGGGATCTTTTGTGAATAGTGGAGTGAGAACCGAGTTGAGGGAGTGAGTGCCTCAAGATGAATACTAAGGAAGGGCCGAGCACAGTTCTGCTACCGAGGCTGATCGTTAGCCTGTCCTTTGGACGATCCATCTGATTGGTTTGCCGCAGCTCACATAAACTTACCTCTCAGAAGTAATGGGTACTAAGTATTATTTGCTTTTGAGTGGGGCATTGCTCAATTCTTTACATTAACAAAGAGAAGTGCTAAAAGCAACTTCAAAGATTAAGTCATCGTGTTAGGTGTGTGTAATATGCCATAAAAATGGTGCAAGGTCTCTTATAGAAACAAAAGTGAGGATTAACGTGTGAATATAGTTGCGCAGTCCTGAATGAGCAATCTTTAATGTAGTAGAATTTGTATTATGTTTGTTGGGTAGTTGCCTTCAATTTTGAGAAGAGTTTTGTAGTTAAATAAAAAAAATTCTTTTCATTTGAGAAAGACAGCTGTTACTGCCTTCCTCTTTGAAGCTTTTATTTGCAGGGTGCAGACAGAGTTAGGAGGCAGTGGATTTAAATGCGAGGGATAATTTCTGCTTGAGGACGGGACAAAAGGCCTGTGAAGAGTTATACTGTCAAGGACAAAATCCAAGAGAGCAGTTGTATAGATATTTCCTTGTTCACCAGATCAGCATAGAATTGTAGCTAATGGGTCACTTTTTAGAACATAGAAAGTATTTGTGGGTAACACATCCACTAACCTACTGCCCAAGTGATGAGTTACCTCTAAGCAGAGACACTGTTCAAGTAAAGTCAAGCAGGGCGAGTTTCTTGGAAAAGGTGGATTTTGAATTATTTGCACAAGGAGTTGGTTTGTGGGTTATTAGACACAAGGATGATTGCAATCCAGTAGTTTGGGATGAAGCATAAGCAACTCTGGGCCAAAAGTGCTTCGAAAATGAAAATGGTTTTTAAGGCAGATTACAGATAAATCTGAATGATTAAATACATGGTCACCAGCTAAGCCTCTTCTTGAAGCTTAGTTGGCAAATAGTGGTTCCGTATGTTGGTTTGGAAAGAAACAGAACGGTCAGACTGAAGATGGGCAGTAACATACAGTGCCCCCCAAATAATTTTTTGATAGTTAGAAATAGCAAAATTTATTAGTTGCTACTTTGTGCCAGAAACTGTTTTCAAATATCTTTTGATTGATTTAACTTGCCTAAGGTCACACCAGCTATTATTACATGGCAAGTCAGGATTGGCAGAATCAGTCAGTAAACATTAATTGAGCATTTGCTTGATGCCAGGCACTGGTAAATGCTGCAGATTCATAACTTGACAGAAAATCCAAAGGTCAGACCTGAGCCTGCCATAGAAAAGACTTGTTATAAAAGAAGTCTGAAAAGAAGGAAAAGATTGCTTGGAAAGATTTTGTAGATACTGAGGGGTTTGCTGTTTAGAGAAGCCTAGAGCTGACTTTTTATAGAAAGTCCTATAGACTCAGAAGAACAAGGACTAAGAAGAAACCACTGAGGTAAAAAAGGAAGAAAGAAATGGGAATGTGATCTGAAGATCACTGAAGTGAATTATGATAGGGGCCAACAATTGTGCTTAGTGGAGGGTACTCAATGTAAATATTAGGTGTGGTCACAGTTTTGGTCATATTCAGGGAAAAAAATTATAGCAGGACCCCCTTGTAATGTTTTAGTTTTTGACTAAGAAGATCTGGGTGTTTTAAAAATGCTTGTTCTTTCAAAAAATTTCCAAATAAAAATTAGGATTATTATTTTTTGCCATTAAGGGATAACACCCATTCAACAGAAATGGGGCAGTAGGGAATATGTAGGTCTAAGCTTGGGGTGAGAGCAGAGATGGTCTTATTTAATGTCTGCTCCATGTGAGCTATTTTGGAAGGCCTGTTTCCATGTTGGAAATGACTGATTTGTTGTGAATTGAAACAGTACATTCTAAAAGATGGCATTTGATTAATCTGGAGGATTAGGTTATTAAAGCACCTTGAGTTATAGAGATAGGGTTCTGACTTTCCTGAACATTTGTTTTCTTAGAGTTTACCAAAAGAAAAAAAATTAAGATTAAAAGAAAACATTGAAGTACTCATTGTATTGGGTGATTTTTAACTGTTTCTTTCGGCTGTATAGCCTTCCTTCTTCCCACACATCGTTTCTGTTGTTCTGTGTTTGGTGGGTTTGATACAGACTTACAAGTTTCAGTTCAGTAAACAGTATAAAGCATTTATGTTGGACTCATCTATTAAAACAGTTAAAAATCCACTGTTGGGACTTGGGAGATGGTTCACTCAGTAAAGTGTTTGCTGCGAAAACATGAAGATCTTAGTTTGGATTTCGGGTACCCACAAAGAACCGGCAAACATGACTGCAGTCTTAGCATTGGGGAGGGAGAGACAGGAGCTGGGCCTTGCTGGATTACCAGCCTAGTCAAATCAGAGACTTGTTTCAAAATAAAGTGGAGAAGATCACACATGTATAACAAACACCACACAGATGCTTCACTCTTGTATTCCCAATTCTAAGGGAAGCATATCAAGAAAATAGGTCTTTGTTTGCCAAGTAATTATTCCCAAATAAACTACGAGGATTTGCCAAAGGGTCAATGCAGATTGAGTTCAATCTCATAAGTAAAGAGGGAGAAATAGCTTTCATTTGGCCTGTAGAGATTGTGGAATAAGTGGACTGTGATTTCTGTTTCACCTAGACACTGTATTATGTTCCTTAAATAAATGATCACAATTACATTTTGTTTCCTTATGTGCATGCTGCATTTTACAAATGAGGAGAATGAGGCTCAGAGAACTTAAGTTAGAGAACTAAGTGACAGAACTAGGACATAGTCCTTACTTTGATGGGGCGTAGTGTCATGTGCCTGTAATTGCAGCACTTGGGAGGCATAGGTAGGAGGATTCTGAGTTTGATGCTGGCCTGGGTTACATAGCACAGTCCTGTCTGAGAAAAACAAACAAATCCCCAAACCTATGCTTTGTTTCTAAAATTCAAACAGATAAGGACTTATTTTCATATTAATATCTGTGATTGAAAAAAGCATCATAGCCTCCAGTATTTAATAGCTATTTCATACCTCAGTCCATTCTCACAATTTCTTTGAGACAGGATCTAATTCCAAGTCTTGGTTGGCTTGGAATTCTCTAGGTAGAAGAAGACTTGAACTCACAGTGATAGTGTGCTTTTGCTTCCTGACTGCTGAGACTAAAGTCATATGCCACCATGCTAAACTGCTGCTGCAGATGTTTGTGCCCTGTGATCCTTCCTGCCTCTAAATAAATAGTAGTGAGTTTGTTTCTTACAGGGCCTGCCTGTTATATTGCATTTTTCTGTTTTAGATGCATGTTTCAACATTTCAGTATTTTTGAAAAGACAGTGTATTTAATAGTATGTCTTTAAACTGTTTGGAGTAGATACTGTGTCTTAAAAGTCAAATATGCCTGAGGATTGAGGAAGTATGGAGATGCATGTAGTTTTTAATGTGTAATGGTTTTAGAATTTGTGTTCATTTTCTTTCTAGCTTTTCATTAGTTATCATTTATTTACTTTAAATTATTGCTCATTTTCTTTAGTTAATATGATATAGAAAATGTGTCATAATGCAGAAAATTCACATTGAACTGTGAATTAGCAGGTTTGAGTTTTAATTTTGGCTTTGTTAACGATTTCATGTTTAACTGTAGGCAAGTCACTTCCCCTGTTTGGGCTTTAGTTTCCTCATCTGTCACTGGTGGCAAGGAGGAGAACCTTAAAAACTACTGTTGCTTTTTACCTCATTTCTCATTTTCCCTTTTTCTTTTCCTTTCTTCCCTCCTGTCATTTTTGTCATGGATTCCTAAGATATGGTTGTATTTTTAATTATATTTTGCTATCTTACATTTACTGAGATAGGCTATCTTAGATTGTTAGTAAAGTAATGGAAGGATGTTATCTCTTATCTGAGCTAATAAATCTTTAGTAAAATATATATTATATATATAACCAATAGACATGTTAATCAAAGTGGAATGAAAATATTTTTCATGTAAATATATTTTGAAACTTCTGTTTTCTACTGTATTGTACAAGAGAAATCAGATATAGTGAGATGCCCTGGGGCAGGTAGAATGTTAGGAGGGAGACTGAATATGTGTACTGGAAAGTATGTAGTAATGCTGGACTGTGCACTACAAACAGGTAGTAAACTGAATATTTTGAAATGAAGTAGACTTTAGATAGGTTGAGAGGGAAGGAATAGTAGGTGGTATGGTGAAGGAATTTACACATATTTATGCATAATCTGTATCTCTTTATCTTTTAGACCCATATA